CAGTTTAAAGACCTGCCTTTGACTGACTCCAGATCCAGAGAGATCCAGAACACTGAGCCGGTAGAGCAGCCACATATGCGTCCAACATTCCCCAATTACATTCATTTTGGGTATCATTTGCACCGTTCTATCCAGGAGGCGATAGGAAGTGTCGGGACACTCGGGTGTCTTACACAGTATTGTCTATTATTTTGGGAAAACCTCTGTACCAGAAAATGATGCGTCATGACTGTGGATGGGAGGGGAAAAAAGAAATGGGAGATTTTGGTAAAATTTTGGCCATAATAGCAACAACAAAAAAATGCAGTCAATGGGAGATCCTTAATGTAGGTGGTTTCTTGGAGTACAGGTAACTAGTGAAAGTGATATTTTGGGGTGGAAAGTTCGTTCCGTCTCCTAAAGGTGACCACACACCTTACAATTTATCTGCAGATTTTCTGTGGTCAGATGGAAAAAGTGCAACAGATTGGCCCAGGTGGAGATTCCTCTGCAGATAAATTGTAAGGTGTGTGGGCACCTTAAGAAGGATGACTTTGGGATTTCAGGTGCCAATGCCCATCCCCAAATTGCTGCAAAGGTAGCTAGAGGCAATTATCAGACCAGTGCCAGCTCTCACCATGACTAGAGGAAGAACCCTGCACATGTGGAATACACGGTGTATGAACAGGGCGGGCGGGGGGGGTGAGACTGGAATCCGATGAAGAGACTTTTCCAGGATACATAGAGCGAGAAAACCTGTTCTACTGCAAACAGAGAAGGCCGAAAAATATCCAGAGGAGGAGATAAGAGAAATACTGAATGAGGGAGAGGGAGAGGGAAAAAAGAGAGAGAGGAGAAAAGAGAGAGAGGAGAAAAGAGAGAGAGGAGAAAAGAGAGAGAGGAGAAAAGAGAGAGAGGAGAAAAGAGAGAGAGGAGAAAAGAGAGAGAGAGGAGAAAAGAGAGAGAGGAGAAAAGAGAGAGAGGAGAAAAGAGAGAGAGGAGAAAAGAGAGAGAGGAGAAAAGAGAGAGAGGAGAAGAGA